AATGTAAAGCACACAAAGAATTTTTATAGAGGTTTGGCCAAAATTGGCCTATGTTACCCTCTTGAGATTTTCACTAACTCAAATCAATTGAGCTTCTCAAGTGACAATCAAACATTTACAACCTAGGACTTCCAAGTATATGTTAAAGCTAGATAGACTTTCTTGATGTTATTCCTACCAACATTGTTGTTCAACACTTGGAACACCTCAGATACAAATGATAAGGCACTATAAGTACAAATACAAGTAAAAGTCTTTATTTGGGAAGATATAAGCATATCCATATCGAACTAATATTTATAGCAAGATGATACAACATAATAACAAGCTTAACACATGAAGAGTTCTCAAATCTCTATGAGAAACATATATGTAGGGGTAAGCATTGTTCGGTTAAAATAAAAAAAAATAAAAAAAAAACTGAATCAAAAGTTTTGGTTTGGGTGTTTCCAGTTTAATTATTTCAGTTTTTGGTTACTTTAGTTTGGTTGTTTTGATTTTATAGAATTTTAGTTTTGGTTCTGATTTTTAGGTTTGGAAATTTGGTTAATCGGATTGACCAAATTGTTTGCTCACCCATACCTATAAACCAGACTTCCTAATCAGTTTATCTTACATAATTGTTTTAAGCTCAGAGAACTATACTTCTGTTAAGATTCTTGCTCATAGAAAATGCTCTTAATATGGTAGATGTTTCTCTTTTGTAGTTCTTGTCTAATCTCAGTTCTTAAGCATCATTTTATAGATGTTGAGACTAAGTGACCATTAGAGAGACATTGGAGAGGATCACACTAATCTTCAGAACAATTTCTCAATGAATAAAAGGCTTACTAAAAGAAGAAACTAGTCTTTGAACCTTCAAACAATCATTTATGACTACAAGTAGTGGATTGATGACTTCTATTGATTGACTATTACTCACAGGAGGGAATCTATTTTCATTGATAGTTGATGAGCCCCTCATATTAATTGACTAACAACTTATGCCAACTCTTGGTTATCGTCAAAGGTAATGGACTATCAGAATGTTGTAGTCAACTCATGAACAATGACAATGCATTTTATGCCTCAGATGTCAAAGGTAGTCGACTCATCATAAGGACTCATAAATAGTGAAATATATACTTCATGCCTCGATTGTCAAGGGTAGGTGACTCATTAATAGTAATTAATCAACTCCTAACTATTTAGAACCTTATAGAACCTTGCATGCTTTTTTTCTAAATGAATAGATATTATTGCCTTAGGTTTTCAAAGCAAGATTAAACAAACTTAAAGCCTAGGAACACCTAAAAACCAAGCTTAATGTAACTATTAGTCTCTAAGGTTCATGTTAATTGAGATTGGTCTTTGACCACACAATATGAACTTCTTTGGATTTGAATGATATTCTTCTTCTTCTTTCTTCTAACTCATGGTAGTTAATATCATTTTGGAGAGATTCATCATGATTAATAGTAGAGGTGTAAATTGGGCCGTGCCGCCCGTGGCCCGATATGAACTTGGACCGGCCCGGTACAGTCTGGCATGATGGTCTATGGGCCGTGCTAGGCCTGACACGATCTACATGCCGTGCTGGGCTTGGAATTTTAGGTCCATGGGCCGGCACGACATGGCACGATCGAGCGGGCCATGCCGCCTAGCCCAGCACGACCCATATATATATACTATATATTTATATACATTATATATATTATAATTATATAATAATATATAGTATATAATATATTAATAAAATAAATATTTTTTAATTTTATTATACTAATTTATTTAATTATTTCATATATAAGCAATTTTATACACAAAATTCATATAAAATTAAAATTTTAAGTTTTTTGTCAATTTTTTTAAATAAATAGCTTTGGCCTAATACACGGCCCGACCTGGCCCAAGGCTCGGCGCAAGGGCCAGCCCAACCCGTGGCATGGCATGGGCCCACATGGACCCGGGTCGTGGGCCGTGTTGGGTTGACCCCCAAAATTTTCATCGGGGAGGGCAGCACGACCCGTGATGTCCTATGGGCCAGCATGGCACAACCCGCACTCTGCCCACGGGCCGTGCCGTGCGAGCTCGGCATAGCCCACTTTACACCTCTAATTAATAGCTACCCAATGCTTTCATTCATGCTTTATCTCATCTAGCATTTGTTTATCATTTTTAGCTCAATGGAAATAGTTGCACACTTAGTACAAACCATTAGTACTCTCATTGAGCATGGTACACACACCCTCAACACCTAGGTTGATTTTAAACATGAGATTAAGTGACAATTTTACCTTGAAAATGTTGAGTGCCTTGCTCGAAGGAAGATGAAGAGCCTTAGACATATAGACTCATTACATGAGTATGTCATAAAATTTTTAGCCCCGAGAGATCACTGACATGTCTAACAAGGATCTCTCTTATTCAACTTCATGAACGGTCTCCATCCCTAGGCTGAGGTTGAATTATAATGGTGAAGGGTAAAGGACCACGCAACAACCATGGTTGTGGCATCGAGCAATTTGTTGATCTATGGAATCCTAATGTAGAAGACCACAAGCCAACCAGACCACATACCACTCTTGAGTGTGTGTGATTGACAACCAAATCCACTCAAGAAAACTGCCCTGGCCCAACAAGTTTGACAATCACTAAGAAGGAAAGAAGCCATAAGGATCCTATAACTCCCAAAACTACAAGTACACTAGGAGATCCACAATTCCTCATTCACCTTGCTTCGTTTATAATGAAATTCATTGGGCAAGTGGTTGTCCCACAAGGAATAAAATCAATGCCCTTACTAGCAAACTTAGTGATGAAAGCAATAAGGAGAAACCCACATAGGCACCAAGAATGGGCATCTTGCAACTTCTCAACACTATGGTAAAGGAAGAGGCCACACCTAAAGGCCCAACAAAACTCATAAAAGTTTGAAATATGTGAAAATCACCCTCAACAAGAAGCTACTTAGGCCCTACTAGACACAAGGGCCACACATAACTTAATGTTACTTGTTGAAGCAATGCAACTTAAATTGACCATCTCCAAGGAATCGAGGTGGTTCAAAGTTGTCAACTTTAGTGCCACTGTGATAGAAGGCACAGCCCATGTAGTAGACCTCCAAGTCGGGCCCTAGAAGGGGAAGATTAACTTGTCTGCTATATCCCTAGACGATTTTTAGGTTGCCTTGGTGTGAGCCATTGAATATATTTCTTGATACAAGCAAAAGTGACCTTTATACCACACATCAACAGTCTATTCATCCAGGACAAGCATTCACCTTGCATGATCCTAATGATGGCCGTGATCAAGGTACACAAAAAAGCAAGTTTTGGCCCTCCATATTTACAAGGAAGAAAACACACTTGGAGTAAGCGCCATGCCAACAATAGAGAAGGCTTCCACTACTGCAACCTCAACCATTACATCCAGGGCGGAATGGGAGGCCATCAAGAAGAAACAATATAATCACCACCCAAGCCATTCAAGCAACATTTGTAGGGAATCAACACCCCAATAATCCAAAATTTTCTTTTATCCTAAATCTATCCTTAACATGCCACAAAAATAAACTGAAGCTTCCAATCTCATACCATAAAGTAGCCAGCCGAGGAATTAACCCATGCTCTAGTTGTAGGATACTCCAAACCATCAAGAACCCTCAATCCTACCACCCAAGTATGTGCATTAGCCTTGGGAAAGAAGATGCTTGTGGATCAACTGAAGACCACTCATCTTTAGAAGAAATTAACCCATGCTCTAGCTGTAAGATAACCTGGAGATGCAAATGGATCACATTCGAATCAAGGTATATCCAAATCCAATCTGATATATCTAATCCAATCTGATGACTCAGTCACATCTCTCAAAGGTCAATTCGAATATACTCACCTCACACACCTTGTACTCACTCCCTTTTCTCTCTTCAGACTCATTTGTCTTGATCATCAGAGTCCTCACCCTAGGAGATCACCTTGGGGGCTCTAAATCTCCATTGTGGTTTTAGGGATCATCCATGTCCAAGGTATGTGCCAAGCAATCTAACTCATTGGTGACTTTTGGATGTTCGAAGCGTCAAAAGTTTTTTTGGAGGGGCCAAAAACTAAAATGGAGAGGAGAGAGGGGAGAATAGACATGGATGGGCCATTAGTAGGGAGGGCAACCATTGGGGTGGGGTGGGAGAGGGGAAATATTAATGGGGATTTTTGGGAAATAGGGGGGCCATGGCTCCCCCAGGTCCCTATCACTCTGCCCTACATCATAGGGTTCAAATTTTGCCCAATAAAATATAAGCCCATTGATCACACATTAAGCACAAGATATAAACCCAGTAACCCACTGAATGGGTTAGGTGGTCAATGGTCAACTAGTTTTGTAAAATAGGGGGGTGGAAGTAGGGATGACAACGGGGTGGGTTTTTGTAAATTCTAGACCCCAACCCTGCCCTCCCTGCATTCAAGGGTAGGGTGGATTGGGTTCCTATTATTTTTTGTTATATATAAGTAATAAATAAATAAAATAAAACAAACAAACAACAAAATTTTCAATTATTTAAGTAAGACATATAAAAACAAATAAACTATCAATCCTTTATATAAAATTCAAAATATTATTAAATTCAACACCTAATACATAAAATTTATATTTTTTCCATCATATGCGGGTTGGGGAGGATTGAGTTGAACCTAATTCCGTGCTATACCCATATCTGTACGGGTTAATGCCTTCCATCAATAAGGGTAGCTGGATAGGTACAATAGTAGGTAAAAATTGCCATCCCAAGTTGGAAGTTGACCCAAATTTTTATTGTGAACAGGCCATTGGTCCGACAGGTCGGGTCAATAATGGGTTGAAAATATTGAACCGCATTAAATTGGGTTTGGTCCCAGTTGGGTAGCCCATAGGCAGGACACGAATTGCACCCTCAAAACACTTGCTATATTGTATACAACAACAAATTAAATAATTTTCTTAAACAATTAAACAAACATAAGATGCTGCCACGTGGCAAGAATGAATAATCCAATCTGGTCTTCCACATAGGTTCCTCCTCTCTGTACAAAATGTGTAGCTGGCCATTTGAGTTATGAGCAAAATCATTAAAGCAACTTGAAAAGGCTTATATTTTCACACATCTATTCCTTTTTGCAACATCTATAATTTATTTGGAATCGCCTCTTCCTACAAACCGTAGAGGAGGAGAAAGAAAAAGTAAAACACAAGAAGGCAACACCAAAGTAAAGCAAATTAAAATGGCCCAGGCCTCTGGGGCCATCCATTCAAGCACTCCATCAATGGAGCAACCAGTTTGCCATCGCAGATAGCCGCATGGACGGCCTCGATTTGTTCCCCAGGAGACACTTTTCTGGTGCCACTAAGCAGCTGAGTACCAAGCTCTGTACGGACAAACTTGTAGACCGGATACGACCGGCAATCGGCGATCCTGTTGGGAACCTGTGGGGTTCCGTTATCATATTTGGCACGCGCAATTTTAACTTGGGCATTGAGCTGCGCTTTGAGCTCGGATTCGAACATCTTTATCCGTCCGAAGACACCAGATTTGGGCGACAGCTCCGCCTCTGTATGCGAGCTCTGTAGTGAGTGTTCAACGAGGACATGCCGGAGCTTCTGCATGAGAGGGTAGTCGACACGGCAAGGGTCGTCCACATAGGCAAATACTGGTTCGCTCTCCACTACTTGGAGCAGGTCTTTCTCAACAAATCGGCCAGGGAGCGGCTCACCGTTGGGTCCTGTGCTTAGGGTCTTCTTTGCTACCTGTGCCATGGAATATCAATGAGTTTTAGTTGCTAAGATACATATAATAATATAAGCCCAATTAGTTGGCGTTTGGTATGGTACATGAGAAATTAATTGAATTGAGCGGCTGCACTTTTTTTCTCAAAAAAATCATACCACAATTTTGTGAGTGTTTTGCATGGGACGCGCTTGGATCTGATACCCACAAGCTGTTCCCACAATTTTACACACACGACATTGTTGGGAATATCAGATTATTCTCAATACACAGGGGTGGTGTTTTATGGGTAGGGAATTTGGGAAGGATTTGCCACTAAGAGATCCAGACTGGGTATGGACCTTGCCACAAAAAGGAAAAAAAAAATTGAAAAATTGCAAGATTTCAACTATGATACCAAAAAGACATGATAGTAGAAAAGCTTGCAACCAATCAACCAGGAATTGGTAACTAATCAGGCAGTATGGTGGTGTTGATTGGCCAAAACTCTTTTAGAATTCTCTTCTCGACAACATAGATTTTTCCATATCTTACTCATTAGACCAACCCAAGGTTCTAAATATCAATACAGGCCGATACGCCGTTAAAGGTGTATCAGCTTGTATCAGTGCTTTTTTTGTGTTTTATTTATTTTTTTTCAAAACCGATTCAAAAGGGTTGGTTTAAGTCCTGACTATCCTCTAAACCATGGCCTGACCCGATACATCCCCTATAGAGGCATATAGAGGAGGAGTTCAAATCAGCCCCCCACAAGATTGCTCCCCACAACACGTTTCTGTTGTATATTGAGAGCATCTCCTAATGATGACATCATCATTTCTGAGGTTATCATTGAGAGATGTTTTCAATACACGGTGAAAATGTGCTATGGGATGTTGTGGGGGGACTGATTTGGTCTCATAGAGAAGGCCTCGATACAATGCATATCGGCTATAACAATATTTTGAACTTTGGACCAACCCAATTGATTTAGAAAAAGCCAGGGGTGATCATAGGCCAGGCTTTGTACCTTTGGTTAAGGCTATAGCCTGGGCCCCAGACCAGCCCAGTGTGGGTTTTAGGCCTTGAAACAGTAAGCTGCGGGCCCGTGTTTTTATCTATAAATACATCAAATATATAAAATATGAATTATGCATATCATATCACAGATTATATATATAAGACTATATAATGCAACATAAAAAATCATATATAAATATTTTATAACATGGGCCAGGTTGGGCCTGGAGTATTAGGCCCAGGCGCGGCCATAAATTTGTGGGCCTATGCTGGACCTGAACAAAAAAAGAAAAACTAGGCCCAAGGTTGTTGAACCCCAGAAACAGCGGCCCATATTTTAATGAATTAAATTGTATATACTCTTAAAAAAGAAAAGTCAAATAAAAAATAACTGTTAGTGTAGCTATGTCAGTGGCTGACTAGAATACACACCTGTGCAACAACGGATTTGACGGTCTGGCGGAGATTCTCCTCAAGATGGCGGAGATCAATGGCTTGGCAGAGCGCGGCCAGGTAGGTTGCAGTCATCAACTTGAGGATGTGGATAGCCTCCGCCGACTTCCGGGCGGATACCAAGCCGAGAGAGTTAACATCCTGGTTGTGTTGCTCGGCACTCTGTACATGGGTTGTGACTGGGTTTGCCAAATACTGAAGCTCTGACGTGTATGATGCCATGGCAATCTCAGCACCCTTGAATCCGTAGTCCAGGCTGGGGTCGGGTCCGCCGCTGAGGTTGGAAGGCAGGCCTCCGTTGTAGTAGTCGTTCACTAGCTCAGAGAATTGCGCGAACATCAGCTTTCCGATCGCCGCCACGGCTAGACGTAGATTGTCCATCGCTACACCGACTGGGGTCCCCTGGAAGTTGCCACCGTGGAGGGCTTTGTCTCGGGCCACATCAATAACCGGGTTGTCATTCACTGAGTTTATTTCACGTTGAATCATGTGGGTGGCCACTCTAATCACCTCGATCTGCATCCAACGTAATCAACGTTACTTTGGTTCACAATATTTGACTCTACCCTACCCACCAACCCGTTGCAAACAGATTGACCTTTCCTTGCCCGGCTTGTCCCATCGATTACCTCTGAGTCTGACCCACTATATCTCTTGTTACAAACTCTAAACCATGCTTTGGAAAGTCGGACCGGAATGGATGGTCGGACCATTTGACTTGAGAAGGGGCATGGCTCCGGATTCAGCTTTAGACCCCAAAACCATCCGACCAAGGTTCTGATCAGATGGTCGAACCATTTGACCCAAGAATCAATGGTTAAAGTGGTTCCATTTTCGGTCTAATTTTCAAAACCATGCTCTAAACCTAGGGTTTGGTCTAGGGGCGGCCACAAACTGAGCTTCTCACGAGCTATTTGAGTTCGGCTTAGCTCGGTTTAAACCAAGCTTCGAGCCGAGTTCGAGCCTGATATATAGGCTTATTTGCTAATCGAGCTGAGCTCGAGCACAGTGAAGCTCGGCTCGTGAGGCTCGCGAACCTAATCGAGCCTACTATAATAAATAAATATTTTTTATTATATGCATACATATACATATAAATATATATGTATATATATAATAATAATTTTTATTATTTATATAATAATATCTTATATATAATATTTTTATTTTTATGTATAATAGAAAATAATTTTTATAATTCTTATTTTTGTATGTAAAATAAAAACATTTTTATATGTGTATATTTATTTTTATATGTATAATAATAAATAATTTTTATAATTCTTAATTTTTTGTATGTTAAATAAAAAATATTTTTATATTTATAATTTTTATTGTTTTAAAAAAAAAACTTGGCTTGTAGTCGAGCTCATACTTGCGAGCTTTGAACCGAGTCGAGCTTGAGCTCAAGTCTCTAGCTCGAATCGAGCTCGAGCCTAATACAATTTCAGCGAGTCGAGCCCGAATAGCCAAGTATTCGGCTTGGCTCGGCTCAAATCCACCCCTAGTTAGGGCTGATTTGGATAGGAGTCACCTTAGTATCTAAGTCCAATTCAATTATCAATATCTAACACTCAATTTAGGGTTGTAACTCGTAAAGAGATTGGATTTGAAATCATATTGGACTTTCCAAATTCTTGGACAACTCTAATCCATGAGCTCATATAACAATTTTCATTATCAGCTGAAATCGACTTAGAACTAGAATTGATTTGGCCATTGGTTTTTGGGTCAATGGTTCGAATAGATAGCCCATTTTAACAAAAAATTAAATAAATTAAAATAAAAAATGACCATAAACCATTGAATGGGTCAAACGAGTCAGTGGTTCGACCACTTAACTCAATAAATTAACCAGTTCAACGATTTTTGGCCTGGAACTGGGTTTGGAGTAAAACAAAACTAGTTACTTGAACGATTCCTAGGTTAAATAGTCCAATCATCTAAATCAACAACGGTTCAAAAACATTAGGTGCGGTAGATAAATTGTCGCATCGATGGTGGGACTTTGAATCCCCACTATTATCAAAGAAAAGAGATATTAATGTAATGTTGTATTGTTTAGCTAAAAGAGTAATGACCCGTAAGGGGTGTCAAGTAGTGATTAATACTAAAAAAATATAACAATTTTCATCATGCTACAAATCTAGAGAGGAGTGAAGTTTTTTTTGTTATTCTTTTTTATCTTTTACAATTTTTACTTTTATAAACGTTTTTTATTATTTTCTATCTAATATTTTCATTTCTTTTACTAATTTTTGTTTTTTAAAAGAATTTTAATTTGTTTAAGAAATTATAATTATGGATAATAAGTCAATTATTCAACTGCCACCACATGGATAATAAGTGCAATTGATTTGATTAGCCACGAGCAAATTATCCGAATTTTAGCTCCTATTTATTATATAACTTTTCAAGTTTAATTAAATAGATTGACTTTGATAGTATGTATTAATGTAATAAATATGTATTAACCTTAAGCATCTCGCCCAATGTTTTCGAACCGCTGTTGATCCAGATAGTCAGATCATTCGGACCGAAAATCGTCTAAGCATCTGATTCTATTTTACCTCAAACATGGTATTTGTTCAAAATCTGGTTCCGGGTTAGTTTTTAAAATATTGATTTCTCCAGCTTTCCATAATCTTAAGCGGGCCCCTCTTTCATTTATGGTCACGTTCGTCGTATGATTATCTGATATAACTACAACCCAACATTTTTAAAAATGACTCGGAAACGGAACCATTTTGAACACCGATTTCAGGGTCAATGGTCTGATCGTCCAGTTCGAACAGATGACCTATTCTAACAGCAAAATTAAAAGTAATTAAAAAAATGGTCCAAAACCGTTGAAAGATCAACGGTTTGACCACCCAAGTCAACGGTTTATTGACTTTTTCAATGATTTTTGACCAGATTTCGGGTTTTGGGTAAAATAGAACCGATTGCCTGGACGGTTCTCGGGCCGAACGGTCCGACCGTCCGGGTCAACGGCGGCTCGAAAACGTTTCTACAACCTACACATCCGTGCACCATGTGCATGTATCGATCGACAGCCGACCTCTTTCAACCGTCCGATCGAGAGATTAAGTATAGAGTGAACATACCTGTGGGCCCAGCCACTGGGGAGAAGTACGAAGAGCATATCGGTCTTGTTTCGGCTTCTGCAAGGGATTGTATTCGTGAAGCTTTGCCGCATTCTTAACTAAGCCGCTTCCGGCGAGAACGTACTCCATCATTGCCGCCGCCTCCATCTGACCCGGATGGTGCTTCAGCCGGTGAGTCAACGGATCCGTGAACTCCGGCTTCCCCAGCATCACTTCGCAGAACATCGCCGATGCGATCTCAGACGCCACCGCCAGGACGTTAGCGTCGTAACACACGATAGCCCCCAGCGCTGCTCCCACTGCGGTTCCGTTGACTATGGCTAACCCCTCCTTTGGTTGTAACTCGAATGGCTTCTCCACTCCCACGCGCCGGAGAGCTTCCGCTCCGGAGATCAGCTCGCCTGTGCATGTACGGACCTTGGAGTTGGGACGCCCGGTGATTACTCCTGCAATGTAGGACAACGGGACGAGGTCGCCGGAGGCTGTGATTGTGCCGCGGAGGGGGAGTAACGGTGTCAGGCCAGCGTTGAGGAGGTCCTTGACGGTACTAAGTATGTCCCATCTGATGCCCGAGTAGCCTTGAAGAAGAGTGTTGGTACGTACAAGCATGGCTGCTCGGGCAACATCGCCGGGGAGCTCATTTCCGTCTCCGGCAATGACGCCGGCGTTTAAGAATCTGATAAGCTCCCGCTGAAGATCAACCCCTTGGTTCGTCCGGCGGTGCGAGGTGGCGCCGAAACCGGTTGTGACGCCATAAGTGTCGGTACCTTTGCAGGACTGAGCCGAGACCCAGGCAGCGCTCTCTTGCACCCGGAACTTGGCAGTGTCGGCGTCGAGTCGGACTTCGACGTCGGCTTGGCGACGAGCGACGGCGACGACGTCTGCGACTTGGAGGTTCTGACCTTGCAAGTTGACTGAGTTGGTTCGACTGAATCGATCGATCATGCACTTCACTTCTTCATAGTGCGAACCTTGGAGCTCCTTGGCCACCTTGGCCCAGTTCAAAGGATCCTCCTCGCACATGCTGCATGGAAGGACTTTGATCTGCGAGTGCGAGCCATTCTGCACTATCTCGGCCCCTGCAACCATGGTGACGCGTGCAAGAGGTTCGAGACAGAGAGAGAGAGAGCGGGGGACCGGAAATTGAGGGATTGAACTGGGTAAAGAGGTAGAAGAAGAGACGGGTTTAATAGAGAATGAGAGAAAGTGTGTGTGTGTGTGCGGTGAGAGGAAATGCCACGAAAGGAAGGAGGATGGGTTGAAGGGAGGGTGTGTCGTGGGGAGATCTGAGCGTTTGGTTCTCTACCTTCCACCACGGTTTGGTCGTTGAGAGTGGGAGATTGGGTTCGCACGTGAGAGTAGCGGTGGTTGTCGCAGCCGTCATCGTGCGTTCAACACTTACAACTTCCAACTCCAACTGTTCAACAGCCCTTCCCCCTCCCTCTCCACATATTCCAACTACTTCGTGCTTCGCATGTGCTTACCTATCTCTTCCTAGCTAATAGGTAATAGTTAATAGCAAGGTGTGTAGGGTGTCTAGCATCTTAATTATGTGCGGCTTTGGTTTTTGATAGGTAGGTAACAATTGCATTTTCAAGAATAAACGCCAAAACCAGCGACGAAAGTGAAACATGTGTTTGAGATTATTGAGTTAGAAGTTGGTGCCTGTTCGTTCCTTTTTAAATTTTATATCTTAATAGAAATCTTTAAATTTTAAGAGAAAAATGGTTGTCCGATTTTTTATCTCTTATTTTTTTAAGTTCAATCATACAATTTTTTATTTTTCAACCATACTCTAAAAAAGATAAATAAAAACTCTCATATATGGGGTCAAAATAGATAATTGATAATTTTCAAAATTCAGAACAATATTCTCTGCATTCAGAGTTTAGAGAAAAGAAAAGTTCATCAATGCCAATATACTTCTTAATGTAATTATTATACTTGCAGATGTCAGGTTTTAGAGCAAATGAACAAGCCCTTAGAATGTCATTTTGCATGGAAAATCATGGCAAGATGTATATTAGTAAATTGCATATTAAAACTAGGGGTGTCAATGGTATTCAAAAATCTAATTTCAAATTCGAGATTCAACATAATCAAATCGAATTTGGATAATTTAAATATATAATCGATCAAATTCGGATACCTTATCCATACCGAATAGTTAATCGTATTTGAATTCGGATCTAACCTGATTCGACTCGATAAATATCTGAATTCGGTCGATTATTTAATTCTTTTATATGATATATAAAATATTTAAATATTTTATATAACATATATATATATATATAATAGTTAAATTATATAAATAAAATATTTATTTTATATATTTATTAATTACCTAAAATAGTTAATTGGTTGAATCCAAACCAAATTTGGATAATGAATTTTCTAATCGGATTCGAATTCGGATATTGCCTAATTCGATTCAAATTCAATCCATTTACACCTCTACTTAAAACTTTATAACTATCTTTTTCATTATTTTTAAGACCATTTTACTCTTTTCTTTAAAACTTTTAAAACTTAAAAGTTCTTCCCTATTTTCATTTAAGCTTCTCAAGACCCAACAATCTCAAGCATGTTGTATTAGGATTAAATGCAGGCAATTCCTTGGCCAAATCATTATCCTATGTAGTCCACTATTCTACCACCACAACATACAAAAGTGAGTGTGATTGCGACATTTGTTTTAAAAACAAAATGAGTGTTCAAAGAATTGAATTGAACATATAACCAAAAAAGGGAGAGGTTCATGGATTAGAGGTTTAACTATAAAGCGAAGGTATTATTGCACCTAAATGTGGTGGATAGATGGTTAGTTCTTTAAGTTTTAGCGCAATTGACTAGGGATCAAACCTCATAACTTCCATCTTCTTTAAAATACATATTTATTAAAGTAGTACATGCATTAAATATTTATAAGTGAACGTAAACAATGAAGGGGATTAATGGTAAAAAGTCAATATACATGAATGAAGGTCATGGGTTTAAATTAGACCTGTTCATTGGTCAGGTCGGGCTGGGCTTTGTATATGTATCAAAAGAATACACTCGGGCCCAAGCCCGGGCCCGAGCCCAACCAGAAATTTGAAAATAGAATTTTTTTTCTTTTTTATTCAATAAAAAAGTGTTTTACTTATATTAAAAACCTTCAAAACTCAAAAATAATAAACATCTCACTATTACTTGGAAAAAAGAGAAGAAGAACAAAGAAAAAAATATTATATATATACATATATATATATATATATATATTTTATTTTTATCATTTAGTATATAGTATCAAGTCGAGCTCAGGCCTAGGCCGCTCGACCCAAAAAAAAGTTGGGCCCAATCTACAGGCCTAAAATTATGACCAAGCTCGACTTAATAACAGGTAGAGCTGGGATAGCCTGTCGGGCTTCCCGGTCTATGAACAGGTCTAGTTCAAATCTTATTACTTGCATTTTGAAAATTTGATATATTTAAGACTCGAGTTGTTTTAAGAAACTAAGATCAATTCATCGATTTTTTGGTTAAACTGATGGGTCATCTGGTATTAAGCAGTTCTCTATGCAATCCAATTTATAGGGTACAACTGAGTTGGAAATAAGTTTGGGTCATGGTTCAATTGATTTCCTAAAATTATTGATTTTAACTTGTTTTCCTCCCCAACAACGACAATAATTATTTGTCTTCTCCATAAATGGCAACAATTTAAAACTAGGGATGACACTTTTCCCCACTAAATTGAGGCCCCGATCCAATGTGCCCAGAACGGGGTGGATTTTCCTCGACCTTAAATGGGGATGGGTCAGGTTCAAGGATTTTTTTACCTTGAACTAGGGATGGGGTCTACATATAAATCCCTAAACCAGCCTCACCCAATGGTAAATTACATCATTACCCTTTAAATGTTATAGGTGATGAGTGATGGCTTGGCACATGACTCTTAGTCTTAGATTTTGGACTTTTGTCTTTTAGTTTCCAGACGTCGACATTTCCCCCAATTCAATCTAAATTCCAAAAGCCAAAACCCAAAAAGTGGCAAAACCCTTTCCTTCCCATAATCCCTTTCTTCCTCTTTGACAATGATAATGAAACTCCTAAATGGCCAAATCAGCAAATTTGAAATATGAATCAACCCTCTAAACTCAGCAAGCACTGTCCGACGAATTTGAAATTGCAAGTAGCAATAGCAATTCCGACTTCCAAAATCTAGAGTCGAGACTCTCCTCTATTCACATTCTCCATTTCTCCTTCCCTCACTTAATTCCCCATGACTTGCAAGCAGTAGCGCTAGTAGTTCAGCCCCAGTGGGTGGTGGACCAGTGTTTTGACTGTTGTCTCATCCGCTTCTCCCTACCTCTTTAAGTATCAGTTATTTGAAGAGGTGAGTGACTTTATTAGCATGTCTAATAGTAAGTTAGCCACAAATGGATGGAAAAACAAGATTCATGTAGTGATGATGATCTCCTAACAAAAAATAGGGGATAACAAATATTGGTTTTAAGGAGTTGATAGGCATTACACGTCTACCCCTAAATATTCATACTTGTTTTAATTTTTAAGTTATTGAGATGGTGAGGCCCAGGATTAGATCCCCTCTTTAGGATTCTTTTGCTATTTGTGTATTTTTCATAGTCAGTTGTTTTTCATATTTGTGTTTTTAAGTTATTGAGATGTTATTTGTTTATTTTAATTTAGGCCAACAAGTCTTATACAAGCCTTTCTTTTCTACTATGTTATTGATATACTTGCGATCACTACAACAAATTAAACAAGTTGGATTTTGTATCTATAAACTTTTGCGTGACAATTGACCTACACTCATTTACACAAAACCCAACTCTCATTCATGATTCTGGAGATAAACTTTTGTATGTTAGTTGCTACTTAACATCCTTCTAGATATCTTGTTGTAGCAGCTTAATGTAACATACTTGTATTGGCCACAGATTTCACATAAGGTTTCAATTAGTAGCATTTTCCAAGGTCAAATTGGTTAATATTGTCTCATCTTTGATATCAACTTGCATTCCTTTTTTTTCTTGTTTATAACATTGTTGTGTTCATAATCAAAAAGCAAATAATAATATTGTCTGCACCCTATAGGAATGCATGTTTTAAAACTCTCTAAGAAAAAGTAAAAGAAAGCAAGATATTTGTGATGAACAAGATTTGGAGGAACCTCCTCACAAAAGCCTCCTATTGGTTTCCTGGTGTACAATTGTATAATATTCTACGTGGACAAACCAAATTTTAATGTTATGAAATTAGAAAGACTAGTAAACAAGTATGAAGATTTTCTTCTTAAAGCTAAATTCTTATCTAAAAGATATCTGTGAGAAATTTTTTAAGATTTACACTTACATGAAACCTTAAAGAACATAAAATAAACTAGCAATTCCATAGATATGCATTCTTCTATTCTCTTTGGAATATCTAATCATAGCTTTATCAATGAATTGGATAATCTTGGTTTGATTGGAAGATGAAAAAATTAAGTTTTCTATCTCTACCACTGAAGTGCTTAGACCATCTCTAAGAAAAAAGAGTATTGATAATTGATCTAAATAACAAGATGATGACTACATCATTATTACTAATTCCCTTCAAATATCAGAGTGATAGGTAGACTGATTATTGTCACAGTATCTAGAAAAAATTGCTTTTTTTGAATTTTGATGGAAAGATAGGTATCCAAGTCTTGGGATGTCAAGTTTTGAAGTCTTAAGGTATATTATTTCTTTAAAAGAAAAGTTTAGTGTTTCTTTTTTTTTCCTTCTAATGAAGAATATTTGCTATTATTGATCTATATAACCTAGTTACTAGTAAGATGTTGTTTTTTGTGTTAAAATTTAATGTGTATTTAAAAAAATTATAATGATGGATTTAGTGGTTTCTTTGTGGGTTTCATTTCAAAGAATCAGAGGCTAACAACAAATAGTTGATGGCATTAAGTTTTAGCAAACCTAGTTATCTTATTACTATTTCTAAAATTTTTTATATATTTTTTAATTTGTCTAACATTTTTAACTACTTCTAAAATATTTTTTCTTTAAAGTTAGTCTTGATGTCTGGACAAGGGGATAATCGGGCTCTTTACCAGCTAGCCAAAGTGTTATTCCATCTCTTGCTTCAACCCTAAATGATATAACTATAGTAGCTCTATGTTCAAGCTCT